CGCAGCCTTCAGAACAAGGAGTGGCCGAGGCCAGCCGTGTTGCCACTGACCCCTCTAACCAGAACAACCTAGCCCGGCAGGTGCTACTCTTATTTTCCAGACAGGAAACCGAGGCTCGGAGAGAGGTGACTGCCCCAGCTCGCAAGCGGGGACACCAGAGGATGGTGAGGTTACAGCCCCGTGGGGCCTCAGCCCCAGTCACAGCCCCCTCCCCACCCACAGACCCACAGCCAGAGGCCGGGCCCACCAGGATGCCCCCAAGCCCCACTGTTGGGTTCACTGGGTTCGAGGTCCCCTTCCAAACGTGGTGAAGGCCCTCATGGCAGAGGCTGCAGCTGGCCGGGGGCTCCCAGAACGGGAGCGGGGCAGGGTGGGGCAGGAGGGACATGGTGACCCGCTGAGGATGGGACAGACAAGCGCCGGAGTCCACTGGAAGCCTAGGGCACCCCAGCTCACAAGCCCAGGCTTCCCCCCACTGGGGGCCATTTCTCTAGCTGACTCCCCCCACCCCCCTCGAGGATACCAGGGCCTGTGAGGCCGAGGAGTGAGTGTGGGGTGGTGTCTGCGTGAATGAGTCCAAGCTCCTGAGTCCAGTCACGGGGATTGTTCATACTCATTCAACAAACATAACCGCCGTGACCACAAAGTACAACAACAACGGACTCAAACTCCACCCCGGCCTGGGTCTTCTAGAAGACTTGCTGAATTGAACTGTGGATGGGTACCTGGCTTTGCCCATCTGCCCTCTGCCCTGTCCAGACAAACCCTGTTCTCCAATGTCCACCTGTCGCTGGAGGTGCTCCATCCAGGCCCCTTGCCCCCACTCCAGCCTCCCCACAAAGCCGGGCCCAGACCCCACTTGGTACCTTTCGCATTAGTGTCCTGTGACCAAGGTAAACCCGAACGCCCCTTGGGCACTCAAGGCTCTGTATGGATGACAGGCCCTTGCCCTGAGGTCCCAAGCCTCCCCACTCAGTACATCGGCTTCGGCCATGCTGGCATCTCGTGTGACTCTGGTCCCGGGCCCCCCCCCAGGCTTCACATACCCCACCTCCGTCCCAAGTGCTCTCCCCTGCCCCTCACTAGACAAGGCCTGCTGACCTCACAGAGCTCACCCAAGGGACACCTCCTCTGACACCCGACCCAGAGATCCTTCTCGCACATCCAAATCCCTCCTTTGTGGAAATTGTCACCCCGTGCGTCATTCTAAACACTGTCCCCAGAACCAGCACCCGGCTGGCATCCAGCAGGGCCTTCACACATGAGAAGGATGATGGAGATGCCGGCCTCTCCCAGCTCTGACCTTGCTTGCCTCCAGTGCCCCCCAGATCCAGCGCAAAGACACCTCCTCCAGGAAGCCTCTCTGCTCCCGCTCAGAACTCATCCTTTCCTCCTCTGAGCAGCTCCCAGGGGACTGCCCATGAACTGTGGTCACCTTTGTCCATCTGCCTCCTCACCTGGTTGGGAGGCCCTTGAGGCGGCGCCCCAGGCCCAGCCACCCAAGTTGCCCACTGCACCCCTCTCCCCACTCAAGCCGCATCCTCAGGAAAGCCTTGGCTCCCTCTCATCACCAACTGAACTCTAACAGCCTCTGAGAGTCGGGCCGGTGGCCTCCATTAGGCCTAATTTACAGAGGAGACCTCTGAGGCCAAGAGAGAAAAAGCTCAAAGTTCTGCATGATTCTAAACACCTGCATACTCGGCGTTGTGGGGTCTGCTGAGAGGAATGAGCCCCAGAAGCACTCGCCTTTTCACACAAGGGTCCAACCCCCCAGAGGAGAAAGAAAAACAGAGAGAGGACTTAATTACTTCAGACAGGACTGCATTTTAAAACTTATGGTTGGGGCGCCTGGGTGGCTCAGTCAGTTAAGCATTTGATTCTTGATTTTGGCTCAGGTTATGATCTCACCTGTCAGGCTCTGCACTGACAGCACGGAGCCTGCCTGGGATTCTGTCTCTCTCCTTCTCTCTCTACCCTGTCTGTACTCTCTGTCTCTCTCTCAAAATAAATAAATAAACGTTAAAAATAAATAAATAGATAATAAACAAATAAATAAGACTTACTCTTGGGGTCCCTGGGTGGCTCAATGAATTAAGCTTCCAACTTCGGCTCAGGTCACGATCTCGCAGTTTTTTTTTTTCAATGTTTTATTTATTTCTGAGAGAGAGAGAGACAGCATGAGCAGAGGAGGGTCAGAGAGGGAGACACAGAATCTGAAACAGGCTCCAGGCTCTGCGCTGTCAGCACAGAGCCCGATGCGGGACTCGAACTCATGAACCATGAGATCATGACCTAAGCCAAAGTCGGACGCTTAACCGACTGAGCCACCCAGGAGCCCCACGATCTCGCAGTTTGTAAGTTCAAGCCCCACATCGGGCTCTGTGCTGACTGAGCCCACTTCAGATCCTCTGTCCCTGCCTCTCTCTGCCCCTCCCCTACTCGAGCACTCTCTCTCCCTCTCTCTCTCTCTCTCTCTCTCTCTGTCAAAAATAAATAAATAAACTTAAAAAAGAGATTACAACTGGGGCTCCTGAATGGCTCAGCTGGTTAAGATTCCAATTTCAGCTCAGGTCACGATCTCGTGGTTTGTGAGTTCGAGCCCCATGTTGGGCTCTGCGCTGACAGCTCGGAGCCTGGAGCCTGCTTCGGATTCTGTGTCTCCCTTTCTCTCTGTGCCCCTGCCCCACGCGTGCTCTGTCTCTCTCTGTCTCTCAAGAATGAATAAATGTTAAAAAAAAATTAATAAAAAAATTAGTTCTCATCACAAGATAAAAAATGTTTAACTATGTGTGGTGACAGATGTTAACTAGAATTCTTGGGGTGATCATTTCACAATATATACCAATATTGAATCGTTATATTGTCCACCTGAAACTAATATAATGTTATAGGTCAATTATACCTAAATAAATAAATAACCTATATATATAATGAAAAATAAAGAGAATTAGGGTGTCTTCCACCACCCCAGAAGAGGGACCAGAAGAGCAGGTGCTTGGGGTGGGGAAAAAGGGCCAGAATCAGGTTCAATCCCACCAGCGATGGTTATTGAGACTCACAGTGCGGAAGAAGAGCCTCGAGGAAGATGCAGAGCCGGGGGGGGATGGGGACAGTCCGGGAGACCAGGCAGATAACAGAAAACAGCACAGCAAGCAAGGGGAGAGAAGGGTAGACCTACGAGGGTGGGCTCAGCAGGTTGGGGGCCAGGCTCCCGGGGTTGAGATCCTGCCTCCTCCACTTGCTGACTAGTAACCTTGTGTAACTCTCTGAGCCTCGGTGTCCCCATCTTTGAAATGGGGATGGGCTTAGCACCTTCCTCGTAGGACTGTTACAGGAGTTCAGTGAGACAAGGCCCTGAGCGCGCTGCCTGCAGAAGGGAGGTGTGGGTCAGTGCCCTGACTGTCACCAACGACATGACCTATTTTCCCTGCAGGGTTGAGAGGAGACAGTAGGAGGTGGCCTTTCGCCCTGGTCTTGAAGGTAAGAAGGATTGCATCCAGGAGGATGTTGGCGCACGTGGAGATGGGGAAGACAGCTGAGTGCATTTCTGGAAACGGAGAAATGACTGAGGCTAGGTCTCTGAGCGAACCTGGGTGCAATGACTGTCCCAGAAAACACCGAATACTTTAGTATTTTGTTTGTGCCTCTGAGAGCTACCCACGTCCCCCCCACCGATGATCTCGGAACCCCTGACTGCAGGGCAAAAGGCTCAGAGTCCTGTTCATTCAGTCAACAAATACTTAATAAGCACCTACCGTGTGCTGGGCCCCGGAGAATCACAGGTGAGCATGGAGCCTACGTTCTAGGGGAAGACAGACAATAAACTGTATCATTTCAGGTGGTGATTACAGCTCCAAGGAATGAAAGCTGGATCCTGGGATCCAGAGTGACTGTGGAAGGGCCCACAGTGATCTTATCTGCAGACGGGGTGTATGGGTTGACACTTCTGTGGCAATGACAGAGGCTGTAATCAAGATATACTCTGGGGTGGAGAGTCCTGGCAGAGGGAAAGAACAAAGGTCCGGTGGCAGCCAGTGCTCATGTACCTTGTGGGTAAGGAGGCTAGTTTGCCCCCAAGCTACTGAGTCAGGGGGGCAGTGACAGGTCACGCAGGGTCATGTGGACCAGGGGAGATTTGGGATTTAATTCTAAATGTTGCCAGAAGCCAACAAGGGTTTACAAAGAAGAGAGACAGGGTCTCTGATTTACATCTTTAATTTTATTTTTTTTTTAATATTTATTTTTGAGAGAGAGAGAGAATACACACATGAGAAGGGGAGGGGCAGAGAGAGAGGGGGGCAGAGGATCCGAAGTGGGCTCTGGGCTGACGGCAGCAAGCTCCATATGTGGCACTAACTCATGAAACACAAGATCATGACCTGAGCCCAAGTGGGATGCTCAACCCACCGAGCCACCCAGGCACCTCTAATTTACATGTTTAAAAGGTCACTCTTGTGGCTGTGGGCAGAATGGACCTCAGCGGGGTGCTCTGGGCAGTGACCCTAACCTTGGAGATGAACTCCATGCTGAGCCAGGGGCTCAGGAAAGCAGCCCCACACTTTCTGTCCCCGCACACCAGGCGGCAGACCCGACACAGCCTCTCCAGGGCCACTGTGGGACAGGCCGCTGGCAACTGTCCCTTCCCCAGCTGGGTGCCTCTCCAACTCCAGCCTCTGGGACCGAGGGATGCGTGATCTCTAGTTTTCCTATTTCCTGGCATTCTGAATCTACCCGGAAAAGAGCCACCAATGATTTTAGAGGAAAGTCAATTACACCCAGCAAGCAATGTTTGTTTTTCCGCATTTTTACGGGCCCCAAGAGTCTGTGAGATTCAGAGCATAAATGCACAGAACGCTGTTTGCTTGTAGGTGGCTGGGTGCATTTACAGCTGGAGCTAAAGCCGCAGGAGCCGAGCTCCCCCAAGCCCCCAGCAGAGCATCACAGGACTCGGGTTCAAATCCCGTCTCTGCCCTTCACTTCCGCAACCTCTCATAACTTACAGTATCTCTCCCGTCAAGAGACCCCTTCTCCAGATGGAGCAGATGTTCCCTGCGGCTCTTCCAGATCACAGAGGCAGAACTTCGGGGCGAGCCAGAGGCAGCTTCGGGGAACCCCCTAGAGTCTCTGAGCCTGGGAAGTGGGGGATGGGGGGGAGCAGGGCTGGGTGGTCTGGCTTGGGCTGAAGAGACATGGAGAAGCTCACGCAGCCCTCACCACCACGGCAGGATACAACCCCGGGGGCAGAGGCCAGCTACTCATGGTGGATGGTTTTTGCAGCATTAACCTGTCTTATTTCTCTCCTCCTTTTCCTTTCCTCTTGTTTTTCTCCAGACTCTGGGGCCCCAAGAAGGGCTGAGACAGAGGAAGGCAGAGGAAGGGGGGGGAGGGGGAGTTACTTTCCTGGCTTTTGAAGCTCAAAAGGCCAGGCCTTCCAAGGAATGAAAAGACCTTCAGGCACTCATTTTGTGTAAAGAGCCGGGCTTCCAGAGCCTTCGCAGCTAGAGAAGGACTGGCTGGGAAGTGAAGAGCCAGGATTACCAAGCGCTGGTGGTCCCCGGCTGAGCCCAGGGGCTGCCGTCCCCTCCAGGTGTGTGTAGTAAGAGGATTTAAAAACCACAGTAAGACCACTAGAAGCAATAGTTTTAGCACCATACACCGTAAGTTCTAATAAATTTTTTTCAATGTTTATTTTTGAGAGAGACAGAGACAGAGTCCGAGTGGGGGAGGGGCAGAGAGAAGGAGACACTGAATCTGAACAGGATCCAGGCTCTGGGCTGTCAGCACAGATTCCGACTCTGGGACTCAAACTCCTGAACCATGAGGTCATGACCTGAGCCGAAGTCGGATGCTCAACTGACTGAGTCACCCAGGGGCCCCCAAGTATCAGCAGTTCTAAACAACCTCAGGGGATAAAATACTGCTACCTGAGAAATTCCCTGAAGTCCCGTGGTAAGGATCCGCTAGGGTCTGAGTGTTCGGAACGCATGCGTGAGCTCCGAGTTAGCATGCATGTATTGCTTATCTTTTAATAAACACCGTATTCTATGTGGAAGTCATTTCTAAGAGCTCCCAGTTGCACAGTTGATCTCCGACGACACAATCATGTCAAGACCAAGTTCGTGATGGTTCAGAATCCTTGGAACAGGGTTCAGAGTCAGAATCTTGTCTCCAGCTCCGAGGGCACCATTCCCTGCTGCGTTTCAACAGTAAACTCAGGGCCACCTGGGTGGTTCAGTCGGTTAAGCGTCAGACCTTGGCTCAGCCGGATCATGATCTCAGGGGTTCGTGAGTTGGAGCACCACATCGGGCTGTGCGCTGACAGCATGGAGCCTGCTTGGGATTCTCTCTGCCACTTCCTCACAAGCGCTCACGCGCACTCTCTCTCTCAAAATAAACATTTTTTAAAAAATAGAATAAAATAAACAGTGAATTCAAATTGAACCACAGAACATTGATGGTAAAGACCAAGAACTAGAACTTGAGTAGCTTCCTGTCTGTCATCCTATGAGACCACTTGGGAGTTTTTCTTTGGGTTTAACGCTTACAATAAGAAACGAGTGTAAAGTATAATATTTCTGTTTGGGATGTGAAAGTTTTAGTTCATACATGAAATATTTTACTGGATTTTAATATCTTTGATGTCAAAATGTATTTTTTAAATAGTTGATTGTTTTAGAAGAACGAATGAAAAAAAAGTTTTTAACTTACAGCAGTGGTACTATTTAGTGGGTGCCTAAATTTGACCTTTCGGAGGTGTTTCAGGTTTTTTTTCCCCCAAACGATGAGAGAGCTAAGGTAAGCTGAGGGCAAAGTACAAACTAACACCTCACAACCCCCACACCTCTAGGTGAGATCTTCGGGACATTCCTCAGGCATTCCTGGCTGCCCTTGAACAAAGGAGAAGGAGAAACAAATGGTTAACTGATAGCAATCACGATCACAGTCCGGACCAGAGTCTTCGTCAGTTTGCAATTGTCTTAATGATTTTCAAGAAAAAAGGCAATCTTGAAACCTACGGACTCAGTTTCCTGGGGCCCTAACATCACCCTCCCATCCATAGTGATGTGGGGAACAAAGGCAAGGAGAAAATGTAGATAAAATTAAATTTCTTTGTAAGCTGCAGCCCACTGACAGGTACTTGAGGCCGGCAGAGTAAAACATTCCTCCAGGAACTCCCTACTGTCTTCTTGTTAATGCTTTGCTGGAGGGAAAAATAACTTTAGCTCAACAATAGCAAGGCTCTAGTATCTCTTGAGTCTTCTTTAGCATATGATTGTACTTTTGGAGACTTGCCCTTGACTTGACCTCCCCCAGCATCCAGGTAGTGATCAGGCACTCCTCACAGCCCCAGTGCAGCTCTTTCTGCCCACAGTCCTGTCCCTGTGCTTTAAGAAAATCACCTTTTTGCACCAAAGATGCCTCTAGAATTCTATCTTGGCCTACAGCTCTGGACCCCCACCACCACTCCAAAACCTCATCACAAGGAATCATAGTATCTTTCGTTAGTGAACTGACATCCTTTTGTATTTTTTTTTGTACTTTTTTGATGTATATTTCAGCTTTATAAAAACTCACTTCTTGGGGCGCCGGGTGGCTCAGTCAGTTAAGCGTCCGGTTCTTCGTATCGGCTCAGATCATGATCTCACAGTTCATGGGATCAAACCCCGAGTCGGGCTCTGCACTGAGAGCATGGAGCCTGCTTGGGATTCTCTCTCTCCCTGTGTCTGCACCCCCCCCCTCAAAATAAACAAACATTTTTTTAACCCACTTCTTGGTGACTTTTAATTGGATAAGTATTTACTTAAACTATTAATATATCAGACTATAATGGGGCGCCTGGGTGATTCAGTCGGTTAAGTGTCCGACTTTGTCTCAGGTCATGATCTCACAGTTCGTGGGTTTGAGCCCCACCTCAGGCTCTGTGCTGACAGCTCAGAGCCTGGAGCCTGCTTGGGATTCTGTGTCTCCCTCTCTCTCTGCCCCTGCCTGCTCATGGTCTCTCTCTCTCTCTCCCTTTCTCAAAATAAATAAACATAATAAAAATTTTTTAAAAAGAAAAGAAAAATGATCTTGATAGATAAATAAATGGTCACTCTCTGAATTTCTTCTCTGGCCTTTATTCTTATTCATTTTATTTCACGGCTGTTGCTGAGAATAATTTTTGTTGGCTAGAGTAGAGAGGTGTTAAGAAATGATCGTCTCTGGATGTCAAATCTGCTGGCTAAGCTGCCAGAGAGACCAACCTGAGCAAGGTGGCAAGGTCTCCGGATGGCTTTGACAAATCCGAGAGCAGAGAGCAGAACCCCCAGAGAACAAATGTGCAATGCGTCTACGTGGACAGGCCTTGGGTGGCGTCACAGCGGAACTTCCCAGCCCAGGGACAGCATGGGACAGCAGATTCCTGTGCATCCATGAATGGTGCCGAGATGGCAGAGAAACCAGTGAACCGGGGGCCTGCGGATGGTGTCAAGGGCCGGCTCGGGAGCAGCCTGAGTGGGCTGATGGCCAATGACAAAGGACCGGCTGGTGACAGTGACATTAAGCACCAGATGCCCTCACTGACACAGAGCCCACCAATGTCTTGGTCCTGCACAAGCCCCTGGAAGTTAGGCACAACTGTGGGGACAGGGATCCCCCAAATGACCAGGACTACGTTTCCATCCCCTTAGCAGAATGAAAGCTTGAGACTGAAGTTACATCCTATTTTAATTATAATATAAATATTATATATGTAATATATAGCATGTTTATATATGTATGTGAGATAAATATACATTACATAATATATTACATAAAATATAAAGCAAACTAATAAAAATAACTATTTTAGTTATAAAAATAGAAAAAGATGTTGATAAAGGAAAGTCCTTTTTTTTTTTTTTTTTTGAGAGAGCGAGCGAGAATCCCAAGCAAGCTCCACACTCAACACGGAGCCCAATGAGGGGCTCAATCCCACGACCCTGGGATCGTGACCTGAGCCAAAATTAAATTGGACGCTCAACTGACTGAGCCACCCAGGTGCCCCAAGGGGAAGCTGTACTGCATCTCACAAACACCTGTATCCGGGAATATTTATAACCCCGCTGGACCAAAAGTGATGTGGTGCCCAGAGGGGACAGCACAGGCCATTGTCTGGGGGACAGACAGCCAGGGACTCACCAGGCTCCTCTGGGTGGGACGTCACTTGCCTCAGACTAGGAGCCAAGCAGGAGCTGGAGGTGGCCTTCCTCCCCTGTCCCTGCACACGTAGAACAGCTGCAGCCCTGCAGAGCCACGCGGCCGGCCAACCACGTCTGCTGACCACGTCGGCTCATGTCCCTCGTGACGGTGGGGAGCAGGGCCACATGACCCACCCAGAGGGGCCTGAGCGGTGACATGCCAACTCTGTGACAGGGCAGGGAAGGTGAGAGAGAACAGACACAAAAGGCAGGATTTGGGTGACTCAGCACAGAACAAAGAACCTGCAGAATTAAGCAAGAAAGGGAGCAAGATTTCTGGGAAAGGTCAAGAAGTGAATCGTGTTACGTGTCATGTTAAGCCCCCAAATCCCCAGAGTCGGCTGTAAAGTGAAGGGGAACCGGTTATCACCCCGCAGAACAGGGACTTCCATCAACTTGATGGCCCCCACCCCTCAAGGGAGCTTGTCCCAGAGCAAAGAACCCACTGGTTCACCCAGGCTCCGTGGGAAACAGTCCCAGCTCTCAGCCCTGCTGCACCTTCCCACCCCCCAAGTTTCAGTGCATCTGCCTGCCTGGTGTCCCCAGCGCCCCAAAGAAGGCACGCTGATGCTTAGCGGGTCATGGCCTGACTCACCCTCACTCCTCCCTGAAACTCTCACGTTAGTCTCCAGAAACCACCAATGCCAGGTCCCTTTGTGCCTGGGTACAACTCCCAGCGGGGGTGGGCGATTTGCGCCCACGGGATGCTCTTGGCAGCCTGGGCAATGTCCCTGCTGGCTCCTGCCCTGGTCTGGGGCTGAGGGACAACTTGCCCCGGGAAAATGACTGAGATCTCCGTGGGGAATCAGAGCAGTTGCCCACCCACACATACCCTCTTGCTCTCACCCGCCCTGGTCCCGACAGTCACCAACCACCCCTCTGCAGCTGGAACAGACAGACTTCAGCCTGGGGAGTCAGCGCCACTGGAGAGTGGCAGCAAATCTGAATCCAGGCATCTACAGGGAAGCCCCCAGGGCAGAAGGAGACATACTTGTGGTTTGTAATGGCAGAAAAACTGGGAAAAATACAGACATCCTTTTGAGTCCATTTGAGTACTGGTAACTCAAATTATATCATATCCTACCAAGGAATATTCTGTAATTTGAAAAAAAAATTAAGTGTATCTGTAAGTGCCAAAGTTTTGAAAGATATCCAAGATATATTTTTGTTTTCAAGTGTTTATTTATTTATTGTGAGAGAGAGCGGGTGCAGGGGAGGGGCAGAGAGAGAGGGAGAGAGAGACAGAATCCCAGGCGGGCTCCACACTGCCAGTGCAGAGCCCTACGGGAGGCTTGAACTCATGAACCATGAGATCACGGCCTGAGCCAAAACCAAGAGTCGGATGCCTAACGGACTGAGCCCACCCAGGTGCCCCAATCCAACAGATAATATTAAGTGAAGAAAAGCAAGATCCAGAGCTGAATGTATAGAATGATACCATGATGTGCAGGTTATTCTATATTTGACACTCACCCCACCTATCCACTCTCTACCTTTTCTGATCTGCTCCATGCCACCAGGTGGCGGACCTTTAAGTACCACAGAAGTGGGGTGTCCTTGCTGGCTAAATATCAGTTGGTTAGGCCAATGGAAGATTCTAGCTATAGATGAGGGGATGGGACAAGAGACAAACTGGGGCAATTCTTCCCCCTGATCCCTCCCTTCCTGTTCTGATGGTGGCTGTGCTCTGCTCTGACCACAGCTGCAGGTATTGGGAAAGCGGGACATGAGGCCCTCCTAGATGATGCTTCAACCCCACATCATGTCAAACACGTTCAAATATACACACTTCTCACACTATGTATGATTTCGGCTATAAACTTTTTTTAAATGTTTTTTATTTATTTCTGAGAGAGAGAGACAGCATGAACAGGGGAGGGTCAGAGAGAGAGGGAGACACAGAATCTGAAACAGACTCCAGGCTCTGAACTAGCTGTCAGCACAGAGCCTGACACGGGGCTTGGACCCACGAACTGTGAGATCATGACCTGAGCCGAAGTCAGACGCTTAGCCGACTGAGCCACCCAGGAGCCCCTTGGCTATAAACTCTTGAAAGGGGCTGTACAAATTTAGTAATTCAGATCCTGAGAATACATTATGCCTTTTGTTCATACAATTTAAACTTTACTCTTCCTGCATGACGCTATGCTTTATTTGAGCTGAGTTGCAGTAAGCAAGTTGACATGATGTTACCTAGATAAATACTCATCAATTATAATTTTGAGGAATTTTAAAAATATTCTGGAGTCAACAGATACATGATAATTTGGAGACGGGCAGGGGAGGGACACTGTAGAAATGCACAAGGCATTAGGCATCAGGGCCTGCGGCCAAAATGGCTGGAATGTCCAGAAGTTGCCGGGCCCTCCTGGGTCAATGCAGCAGCCAGCCCTAGGAGATTCCAAGACAGAAGAGAATAAACAAACTCACAAGGGAAAATCTGCTCTGCCCAGGGGCTATCTGGAGGACAAGCACAGGACCAGAAGCCCGAGTAGAAGGAAGCTGAACTCTGTCACTTGCCCAATGAACCTGTGGACTGACCAGTCCCCCTCTAGCGCCCCAGCCAGATGGATGGAATCAGAAAGGCCCGTCCACAGCCTCCAACCTGTTTTCTGGGCCATGCTGGGACTTGCAGCGATCTGGATGCCAGCACAGGCTTCACCCCAGCTTCCTGAGGATGCAGAAAGCCCTGAGCCCGGGGGACGGACGTCTGGTCCCAGTCAGTATCTTTGGCAGTATGGAATGCAGGCTGCTACTGGCCCAGGCCCTTCCACCCACCGTTGTTACCAAACCCGTAAGGGGGGCCTGCAGAGCCCCCCCAGGGGGGGGCTGAACAGACTCACCCAACTGCGTCACATGTACACACACAACCTGCGTGCACGTGGGGAGGACCAGCAGACCCAGGACCTCATGGTCCAAGTCCCCAGGCTGGACTTCTGGATCCCCCAGGACCCCAGGCTCTGGCTGAGGCTCTCTCCTACGCTTCACCTGGGCGAGAGCCAGGCATAGCCCCTAAGCTGGAGTCGGGGAGGGTTGGGTCCTGGCCCTGCCCCTGCATCTCCAGTAACCTGGGCTCAGGACTCACACAGACCCAGGCACAGCCAACACAGGCCACAGTTCCGGTGGGGGAGGGGAGCCGGGGGGCAGGAAGCATACACATTCACCGCCATGCCTACAGTGCTAATAACCGAGTGGCTTGTCTTCCCTCAGTTTCTCTTAGGCACAGTGACCTGGCCACTGCCCAATGTAGCCATAAATAGTGGCTCCCAGCTGTCGCCGTGTGCAAAGGCAAGCTTGTTTGCAAAGGCTTTGGCCTGGAGCTCAGTGTGTGATGCTTAAGGATTTGAGGAGCAGGTGTTAGAGTCTAAGAAACTGAGCCTTCACTAACACTTTTGGCCTGTTGCACACAGCAAAATCAAAGAAGTGGTTGGTCTATAGGTTCCTGGGCAGGGGAGAGGAATGCCCCTCACTGCCAAGCAGGGCTCTCCCAAGGACCAAGATAGAAGACCCTTTCTTGGGACGCTTGTGTGGCCATCGAGGTCCCACTCAGAACTGAGACAAACTCCCCAGCCTCATACCTGGGAGGCCAATGCCCACCCAGCTGGACCTGGGAAACCATTGCCCTGGGACCAGTGAGGGCTGACTGTCCATGAGGCTGAGCAGGGGCCGCATGAGGCCTTCATAATGGTGGGAAAGATATTAAATGCTAAGCTCCTCAAAGACCCAGGAGCCAGGACCCTGAACCATGAAGGTAAGATGTAGACAGCAGAGTCCAAGGCTGTGGGTGATGCGCTGGGAGACTTACGGGTCCCTGCTGCTATTACAGCAGCCTGGCCACATCTGCTGTGGGCTCAGAGAAGGACCCTCCAGGGTTAGCACTGGGCGGGCTTTAGGGTCTCCAGGATGGGGGAGTCCAGCTCACCTATCTTGCCTGTATCAGAACCATCAGCCACACTTTGTGAGTTCCCAAGGGGCATGTGACTCAGACACTTGAAACTGAGCCTGAAAGAGACCAGATCACTGGATCATGGAGTCAGACCCAGAAGGCAGGTGATATTTAGTATCATGGGGGAGCAGAGGTGTATTGTTTTGTTTTAATAATGAACAGCGTTTTATTTTCAGCTTTCAGTGGGTTTCTTATTCCTTAGATAAGTGGCCCCTCAAATAAACCTATCACGAATCTGTGATTTGCCCAAAGCAGAGGGAAATAATCAAACTAAATAAAGCTTCAGGACCCCACTGTGATGTCCCCATCTGATGGCCCCAGAGGGATTTGGACAAGGATGAGAAGGACCTGGGTGGTAGACCAGCAGATCTGAAAGGGCCCTCCAAGAACAGTGAGGGGGAGGGGCGCCTGGGTGGCTTAGTCGGTTAAGCGTCCGACTTTCACTTGGGTCATGATCTCGCGGTTCGTGGGTTCAAGCCCCGCGTCGGGCTCTGTGCTGACTGCCAGCTCAGAGCCTGGAGCCTGTTTCAGAGTCTGTGACTCCCTCTCTCTCTGACCCTCCCCTGCTCACGCTGTCTCTCTCTCCCTCTCTCCTAGAAATAAATAAAAACATTAAAAATTAAAAAAAAAAAAAAAGAACAGTGAGGGGGACACCATTGGAGTTTTGTCCAAGCCCATGGACACAGGGCTGTGTCAAGATGGCCCCAGGAAGGGTGAGGCATCAAAGATGTGTCTCCAGGTTACGTGACCAACTGGGTGGTGAGGTCATTTGCTGAGATATGGAATCCTGGGGAAAGGTTTACCAGGTTTAGCAGCAAAGATCAGGAGTTAAACTGTGTACAGAGGGAATTTGAAGGTCTTTGAAAAATTAAGATGAGAATGTCCAGCAGACATTGGATGGTCAAGCCTGAAACTCCAAGAATGCCGAGGGGGAGATATAAATTAGGGAGTCATCTTAATATAGGAGGTAACTGAAGCTGGGAGCACAGATGAGGTGCCCAGGGAGAGAGTACAGAGGAGGGAAGGGAAGGGAAGGAGGAAGGAACAGAGGACCCAGAAAAAGGAGCATCCAGAGAGAGATGGTGGGAACGAGGACAGTCCCTACAACAATCCATGGAGAAAAGCACAGACTAAAGTCTTTCACTTTTAAGATTCTTGACCCAATGGGGGCGCCTGGGTGGCTTAGTCTGTTAAGCGTCAGACTTTCGCTTAGGTCACGATCTCGCGGTTTGTGGGTTCGAGCCCCGCGTCGGGCTCTGTGCTGACTGCCAGCTCAGAGCCTGGAGCCTGTTTCAGAGTCTGTGACTCCCTCTCTCTCTGACCCTCCCCTGCTCATGCTGTCTCTCTCTCTCCTAGAAATAAATAAAACATTAAAAAAAAAAAAAGATTCTTGACCCAATGAACTATTTTTTTAATGTTTATTAATTTTTTGAGAAAGAGAGACAGAGACCCAGAGAGTGCAGGTAGGGAAAGGGCAGAGAGGGAGACACAGAATCTGAAGCAGGCTCCAGGCTCTGAGCTGTCAGCATAGAGCCCACTGTGGGACTCGAACTCACGAACTTCAACATCATGACCAGAGCCAAAGTCTGATGCTTAACCAGCTGAGCCACCCAGAGAGGAAGAGGATTCTCTCTCTCCTTCTCTCCCTCTTTCTCTGCCCCTCTTCCCACCAAATAAATGAACATTTTAAAAAGTAATAAAAATTTAAAATATTAAAAAAAGAAACCCCTTCCAGAACTTTCCCAGACTATGAGCATAAAGACCTTGGTAGGAAGGCCTGTAAATCTTGCCCGTTTGCCTGTCTTTACCATCAGCACGCAGCTCTGCAGCTGCTGGGGGCCCGGGCCTCTTTCATCCATCACTGCCTCCCAGGCTGCCGGAAGCTGATGCCGAGACCGAGTGGAGGGCAAGACTATCATTAGGGACAGTAAGTGTGCAGGGAAGGGGAGCAGCAGACATGGGCAGAGAGAAAGCCAGTCTGCAATGCAGGCCGGGCAAAGCCTTAGCAGCCGGGTCAGAAGCTCTGGGGTCAGCGATGCCCAAGGGGGGTGCCCCACACAATGCAGAAGTGCCCTCCTTTCTTGGTGGCCAGAGGTGAGCAGTACCAGGAAGGGTGTGACCTTGAGGGGGGCAGCTTTTTGCACTTGAGGCAGACCCCAAAGTTACCGGCATCTAGCAGCTCTCTGCTGACCTCACCCCCCACATGCAGGGGGTTCTTCTTGAGGGGCTCCAGACAGTGGTTCTCCATGCCCACCCCATCCCCCACCGCCTAGAACAATGCTTGGCACATAGGAGGTGCTCGGAATGAATAAATGAATGGGCATTGAATTGAATGTTGAAGTACAAACAGGATTAGAAGAGGTAGACAAGACAGGAGGTATGTATTCCAGGCACGAGGCACCCTATGTGCAAAGGTAGAAAGGCATGAAGGAAAATATCGAATGTCCCCAAATCCACAAATACTAAAATAGGGTAAAGTCACTATGTAGGGAAGGAGGAATGAGGCTAAGTGGTCAGCAAATGCTGTGTAGATCACACTTTAATTTTACCCTGTCCGCAAAAGGATGCTTTCAAAGGGTTTCAAGACTGAGAAGGACACGATCAGCTGGTTTTAGAGAGATCATTCTGCCGGCCTTCCCCATGAGGTCAGTTAGGATGGGGAAGCCGTTTAGGAGTTGGCTTTGACCAGGCCAAGCCTGTGTCCTAAAGCAGGCGTGCTGGAGAGGGAAGGGAGCGGCCACAGATGAGGCGGAGGGAGGCAAGAAGGGGCTGCGGCCAAAGTCTGGAGCTGCCAATATGCAAGTGCAATTGGTAAATAACCATCTCAAGAACAAGGACCGTTGGGAAGAAAACAGGAAAGAACAGGGCCATGGGAGCACAGGAGAGAGAACAGTGCAAGAAGGAAAAGGTCAACAGGGTCAGGGCCATTAAGAGGTCAAGGGAGATAAAGACTGAGTACCCATGGATTTGGCCACCAGGAGGGCAGGACTTGAGAGCAGTTTTGGGTGAGAACAGAGCCAGCCCCCGAGCAGTACATTTTCCAGGCTGATTTGAGGCTTGGATTTCTTGTGGGCTTTCTGGAGAAGGCCATCATCTGCCAACATGCTTAAGTCCAAAAAAAATACCAAAAACCAAAAAACAAAACAAAACAAAAGTATGCATCAGTCCAGGGTCTCCCCCAAGTCTGACCATGGAGATGCTCTTGTCCATGTGACCACCCCCACCCACCTTCCTTCGGGAAGCAGTGGAAGGAGCCCAGTGGAGTATCCAGAGTCCTGAGCCCCAGTCCTGTTGCACCTTGGACGATGGACCTAAGGCCTCAGTTTCTCCTGGGGCAATGGGTCCAGGAGGAGTCTATCATTGCCTCTCTTGATCTAGACTGCTCCAGTGCTCAAGTTCAAAGAGAGTGGCACAGGTGGCCAGGGCTCCATGCCCTCTGATCTGGGTCTCCTTGTGGCCTCCACTTGAAACTCTGGGTTTCCCCTGCCCGAGTGCCCCATTATGTGAGCTCAGTTTCAAAGGGGAAAGAAACTGGCTTGAGAAAAAAGAACATTTACTTTTCCCACCGAGCTTATGCTCAAGTAAATAGTGTGGTCCCATCAGTGGAGCCCAGGCCCTGCCCTCCCCCCTCCCTCCAGGTACAGCCTGGAGTATTTAAGAAGGCACCCCAGATGAGCATGCCTCACACGAGACCACCGGACCCAGAGACAGGCCAGCGCCTCATTCACCAGCCTTCTGACCACCATGAAGGTCGCCATCACATTCGCCCTGGTCGCCCTCATTCTCTGCTGTGGTCTTGGTGAGCACCCAGATCCAGGCTCAGGAACCCTCCCCACCACCCGGTGCTACTGCGCAGGAGAGGGGGCACCTATTTTGATGGAAGGCTGACTCCCAGCCGGGAGGCTTGGTCTGTGAATAAGCCCATGTTGGGAATTGGGGGTGGAGGGGACTGGGGCACACTGAGCCCGTGGGGAAACCAGGAAAGGATCCCATCTTCCATATCCAACAACCTCAGGATTCCAGAGTCAGAACAGACTAGAGGCAGGGATGAAGATCCAGTATGGGAGCCAGTGTGTTCAATGACCAACAGAATAGGAATAATGAGCTTCCCAGAGCCCAGTCTTGGAGAAACTCCCAAGATGCCAAGAGACCTTGGTTCAGTGAAGCCTTCAGGTTTGGGGTCTCCACGCTACTCTGGGAGCCAAAGACTCAGAAGGAGCCGTAGAACCTCATGTCTCCAAAAGAAACCTGAGCAAAAGCAAGGTCTCCCATTCTGGGCAGGGAGGAATATTCTAGAAAGGGATCTTCCCTTTGGGAAACTGCCAACCCAGAGTGGAGTTTTCTAAACATTTTTGTCCTCTGCCAGAAGGATTAGGAGTCTCTGAATGGTTGCAGCTGTCACAAGGAGGAAAGGAATGAGAGAGAGGGAGAGAGGAAAAGAAGGGGAGGGAGAGAGGGAGGCAGGAAGGGAGGGACAGAAGGAAGGGAGGAAGGTGGATCCCACTTCTCTTGAAGCCTTCTGATCTTTTGGGAATTGAGTTGCCTGTTTTTCAGTCTGTATCTCCTTTTAATAAGCAAGCAAACAAAAAGCTTTTTATTTTTTACTTTTTTAAACACTTATTTATTTTTGAGAGAGAGAGAGAGACAGAGCGTGAGTGCAGGAGGGGTAGGGAGAGAGGGAGACACAGAATCCGAAGCAGGCTCCAAGCTCTGAGCTGTGAGCACAGAGCCCGACGCGGGGGTCGAACCCACGAACCATGAGATCATGACCTGAGCCGAAGTTGGACGCTTCACCAACTGAGGCACCCAGGCACCCTCCTTTTCATTTTTACCATAACGCTATGAAATAGGGATATGATTCCCATTTTACAGGTGAGAAAATGGAACCACACAAAGCTAAAGGAATGTCAGGTGACACAGTAAGTTGCAAAGCGGGGCTCAAAGTTCCAGAGAGAATTTGAGTTGGAGCGGCCATTTGGGGGTGCCTGGATTCCAGGCAGGGAAGCCCCAACTTTGGCAGAGAATTCAAGGATGGGGGAGGGGGATGAGACTCTGTGGGAAGAAGGGCCAAGCAGGGCATAGGAAATGATGACTCTTCCCCATGTTTTGGGGGGCAGGGGCCTGAGGGGGAGCACAACTGGCGAGCACTCCAGGAAAAGGGAATATAGTGGGGCCAGGAAGGGAATCAAGAGGCTTGTGAGCAGGTGAGTACACACCATGGGGCCCAGGGCATCTTCCAGGCCAAGCTCAGGGGCTTGCACTTGGCCAGTACGAGTACTTCTTCCTGCCAGAGCCTGACTCTGCCACGTCCCCCTCCCCCCCCTCCATCCGGTAGCAAGTGGCAGAGACCATCACTCACCATTGGTAAGAGGCATGTTTCTGGTGGGACAACCAGAGGCCCTCAGTAACCTTTCCCCAGACTCCATGTTGCATAAAAAATCAAATCAGCTGCTCCTCTTTCATCGGTCCCTTGCCTAGAACTCGAAGGAAGAATAAATGGCACCTCATCCTGCCCCAGATCAGAAGGTGCCAGGAAGGTTCAGACAAGCCGCAGAAAGCTGGCTGCAATCCGGGGAGGACCTGCGTGGTGCCAGAGAGCCAGCTCCTTGGAGCCCCACCAGATCTCACATTCAATGCATCCCTTCACCGAAAAGGCTGCTATCTTTTGCTGACAGGCCCGGCCACTGACATCTGGGTACTGGCCCGGCCAGGGGCCTGGCCAGCTTGGAAAAGGGCCCGGACACATGGGCTTTCTCTTTTCTGTGCTTCAGCTTCTGCAGAGATCTGCCAGGGCTTTCTAAACATCATGGAAAACCTCTTCGTGGGCACACTTTCCAGTTATGAGGCCACCCTTGAACCTTTCTTGCCAGACGCGGACATGAAAGACGCGGGGACCCAGCTGAAGAAGCTGGTGGACACGCTTCCCGAGAAGGCCAAGGAGAGCATCTTAAAGCTCATGGTACACAGCTTCCTTCACTCATGCAGTCTGGCACTGGACCTCCCCACTCCCTTGGGTGCAGCCTCAGCCCATTTTTTGGAGCCTTTTCTAACCCAGAGCAAATATCCCTGGGGAAGCACACTCAGTCCTTTCACCCTTTTTAAGAGGCTTCTGAGGGGCGCTTGGATGGCTCAGTCGGCTAAGCATCTGGCTCTTGGGTTTGGCTCGGGCCATGATCTCACAGTTCCTGAGATCATGTCGGCATGGAGCCTGCTTGGGATTCTCTCTCTGCCTCTCTCTCTCTCTGCCCTTTCTCTGCTTTCTGTCAAAATAAACAAACATTAAAAAAGAGGCTTCTGGGAAATAATCAAAACTCTTACAAGTTCAGTTCTTCCCAGAGTCACTGAGCCTCTTCATTGACACTGAAGTCCCTGCATCTTGTCATCTGGGTCTACCTCTGAGGTTCACTCACTACTGTATTTGGTTTTTTTTGTGTGTGTGTGTTTTAGGACAAAATCTTAACAAGCCCCCTGTGTGCTTAGGATTTAGAAGCTGAAGATCTCCTGCTGTCAAAGCCCCTGCTGCTGCCCAGCCACTTCCCTCGCTGTGCCCCCTCCCCGACCGGCTCCCTTCAATAAAGTGCAAGCATCTCACCTTTGTGTCCTGCACCCCAGCCTCTTTTTTGTTCCCCTGCTCCAGTGGAAAGGTGCATCGCTGCTACAGCAAGGGTAGAGGTGCAAAGGGACAAAGGGAAAGTCACTGGCTGTGCAAACACATCTCCAAGGAGCCCAGAAGTCCCACTTCCTGATCCCCATATGCACCAGGCTCCCCCCGGGTGGCAGAAACTGGGTCCAGGACCCACTCCCTTACTGGGGCAGAGAGCCACTCACGGCCCTGCTCAAACTTGCCCTACAGTGGAAGGAAGGGTCCAACGGGGTGGTGGCTGACCTCAGAACGGCTCCCCAACCTGCATCCATTTTTAAAAAAAATTTTTTTAATGCTTTATTTATTTCTAGGAGAGAGAGAGAGAGAGACAGCATGAGCAGGGGAGGGTCAGAGAGAGAGGGAGTCACAGACTCCGAAACAGGCTCCAGGCTCCGAGCTGGCAGTCAGCACAGAGCCCGACGCGGGGCTCGAACCCACAAACCGCGAGATCATAACCTGCATCCATTTAGTGATGGAATCCACCGTTCTGTTTCTTCCAGTGTCTTTGGAATCCCACTCTTGGGTGGAAAAGTAAATATTAAGGTGATTATGCTACCCAGACATGCCTGCAAGTAAAGATGGAGCTTTCCAGAGAGTTCTTTCTCCCGTAGATAAATGGTGGATGTTTCAAGCATGTGGATAGAGCAGTTGGGGTCTGTTAGGGGCTGGGTGGGCCTGTGTTAGAGTGCCTCAAATCACATACAGCACACAGCGGGTGTGGAAGGAATTGGTTTCCTGTAAGACACTTAGGCAAAAAAGCTGGAGTGGGGAATAGGTTCAATTCCTTGATTAGGGACCCAGGGTATTTGGGATGCCTTCGAGGATGACAGACCCTGACTCCTCAGGGTTAGCAGGGGGGTTCACTTGGAGTCCCCAAAGATGGCGGGTGAAATTTTTTTGTTCATTCACATTGCTATATGAAATTATTTATCCAACTATTCTTTTTCTTTTTAGTTTACATCCAAGTTAGTTAGCATAGAGTGCAATCATGATTTCAGGAGTAGATTCCTTAATGCCCTTCACACATTTAGCCCATCCCCCCGCCCACAATCCCTCTAACAACCCTCTGTTTGTTCTCTGTATTTAAGAGTCTCTTAAAAAAAAAAAAAAAAGTCTCTTATGTTCTGTCTCCCTCCCTATTTTTATATTATTTTTGCTTCCCTTCTCTTATGTTCATCTGTCTTATATCTTAAAGTCCTCATATAAGTGAAATCATATGATATTTGTCTTTCTCTGATGGACCAATTTTGCTTAGCATAATACCCTCCAATTCCATCCACATAGTTGCAAATGACAAGATTTCATTCTTTTTGATTGCCGAGTAATACTCCAGTGTGTGTGTGTGTGTGTGTGTGTGTGTGTGTGTGTACCACATCTTCTTTATCCATTCATCCGTTGATGGACATTTGGGCTCTTTCCATACTTTGGCTATTGTTTATAGTGCTGCTATAAACACTGGGGTGCCTGTGCCCCTTTTGAAACAGCACACCTGTATCCCTTGGATAAATACCTAGCAGTGCAATTGCTGGGTCATAGGGTAGTTCCATTGTTAATTTTTTGAGGAACCTCCATACTGTTTTCCAGAGTGGCTGCACCAGTTTCTATTCCCACCAGCAGCGCAGAAGAGATCCGCTTTCTCTGCATCCTGGCCAACATCTGTTGTTGTCTGAGTTGTTAATGTTAGCCGTTCTGAACGGTGTGAGGTGGTATCTCATTGTAGTTTTGATTTGTATTTCCCTGATGATGAGTGATGTTGAGCATTTTTTCATGTGTCGGTTGGCCATCTGGATGTCTTCTTTGGAGAAGTGTCTGTTCATGTCTTTTGTCCATTTCTTCACTGGATTATTTATTTTTTGGGGTGCTGAGTTTGAGAAGTTCTTCACAGATTTTGGGGACTAACCTTTTATCAGATGTGTCATTTGCAAACATCTTCTCCCATTCCATCAATTGCCTTTTAGTTTTGCTGATTGTTTCCTTTGCTGTGCAGAAGCTTTTTATTCTGATGAGGTCCCAATAGTTCATTTTTGCTTTTGTTTCCCTTGCCTCCGGAGATGTGTTGAGTAACAAGTTGCTGCAGCCAAGGTCAAAGAGGCTTTTGCCTGCACTCTTCTCTAGGATTTTGATGGCTTCCTGTCTTACTTTTAGGTCTTTCATTCATTTTGAGTTTATTTTTGTGTGTAGTGTGAGAAAGTGGTCCACGTTCATTTTTCTGCATGTCGCTGTCCAGTTTTTCCAGCACCATTTGCTGAAGAGACTGTCTTCGTTCCATTGTATATTCTTTCCTGCTTTGTCAAAGATTAGTTGGCCATACATTTGTGGGTCTATATCTGGGTTCTCTATTCTGTTCCATGGATCTGAGTGTCTGTTTTTGTGCCAGTACCATACTGTCTTGATTATCACAGCTTTGTAACACAGCTTGACGTCTGGTATTGTGATGTCTCCAGCTTTGGTTTTCCTTTTCAGGATTGCTTTGGCTATTCGGGGTCTTTTCTGGTTCCATACAAATTTTAGAATTGTTTGTTCTAGCTCTGTGAAGAATCCCGGTGTTATGTTGATAGGGATTGCTTTATCAAACTATTATTAAAGGGGGTGGAGGGGCGCCTGGGTGGCTTAGTCGGTTAAGTGTCCGACTTTCGCTTAGGTCATGATCTCGCGGTTCGTAGGTTCAAGCCCCGCGTCGGGCTCTGTGCTGACTGCCAGCTCAGAGCCTGAAGCCTATTTCAGAGTCTGTGACTCCCTCTCTCTCTGACCCTCCCCTGCTCACGCTGTCTCCCTCTCTCTCCTAGAAATAAATAAAAAAAATATATTAAAAAAATAAATAAATAAAGGGGGTGGAGAAAAGGAAAAAAAAAAAAAACAACCAGCCCCTGCATATGCATTTTCTAGATCTTTTAGGTCACCATTGTTAGGACATCCTATTTCTAGGTTTAAATTGCAAAAGCTGGGGCACCTGGGCAGCACAGTTGGTTAAGTATCTGACTCTTGGTCTTGGCCCAGGTCATGATCTCACAGCTCATGAGTTCAAGTCCCTCTTGGGGCTCCGCACTGATGGTGTGGAGCCTAATTGAGATTCTGCCTCTCCTTCTCTCTGCCCCTCCCCCATTTTTATGCTCTCTAAATAAAGAAAGAAATAAAATTTAAAAATAAAATAAAATACATCACAAAAGCTCCAAGTCAAACTGTTGACATCAGTCCTGCCTGTTCACATCATCACATCTCTGCCCAGAAGACCTGGGGGTGGGAAAGGGTGTCACAGACGCCGGGCTGGTCAACACTGGGTCACTGCTGTCTACTGTCCTGATGCTCTTAGGCTCTGACTTGGGCCCCTACCCCCTTCCTGGAGTCCCCGTCCAGTCCACTTTCCTGCAGAAGGAGAATCAGTCACCCCTTTCTACTGTGGCAAAGGAGCCTTCAGGCATGCACTTAATCCCTAGGTATTTACTGGCACTTTCGATGTGTGTGTAGTGGCGCTGGGTGCTCTGAGGAACCCGGAAGCAGATTTCATAACCCCACAAGTCAGCATGAAGCGCCTGCTCTGGGCCAGAACTGCGCTAAGGCCCAAGCACGACAGAGTGGAGAAAGCAGGGGCTTCTGCTCTCCGGGGGCTGGCGCTCGAGTGGGGATCACCAGCTTCGGCAAAATAAACGTGAAGTCAAAAGACAGGTAGATGAAACTGGGATAAAAGCCATAAAAGAACTCCATGGAGTGTTGTGAGCCAGGGCAGCTTAAACAGGCGGAAGCTCAGGAGTCCTCCCTTCTCAGGATTTGAACAGAGGCTTAAAGGGATGGCAGGAGCCAGCCACCCCTAGAAGGGGGAGGGGGGGCAGGGGCTGGAGGTGGGACAGGGCCTTGAGTAAAGGCAGTGAGTAAAGCAAGAAGGAAGATCAGGCAAATGCAAGGAGAACGGAATGGAGACTGCCTGGGGCCCCCCACTCCCTTCCGGAGGCCCCGCTGAATCCAGCCCTTGGACCCCTTCAGAACCTTTCAAAAGAACCTTTCCTGAGGGCGCCCGGGTGGCTCAGTCAGGCACCTGACTCGATCCCAGGTCAGGTCATGATCTCATTTCATGAGTTCGAGCCCCTCATCGGGCTCAATGCTAACAGTGCAGAACCTGTTTGAGATTCTGTCTCCCTCTCTCCCTCTCTCTCTGCCCTTCCCCACCCCATTCTCTCTGAAATAAAAAAAAAAAATAAAAAAGAACATTTCCCCTAGGTTCTGTTACCTGTCACCAGAAGAGCCCAGACTTCCTCCCCTTATGTCATACCATCTATTCAGCCTCCCGGACCCCACTTGTCCAGCAGAACTCACCATCTAAGCCCCCCTCCCCTGCCAGTCTGTTTCTAATCATAATGAATTCTCCCAACTGCTCTGGCCAGAAGGACCAGACCCTCCCAGTGCATCTAGTCAAGCAAGTCGGCCTCCAAAGCATCTGGGAACTCCCTCCAAGTCCACAGGACCGTCCCCCGCCCCTCCATCCACCTCTCACCCACACAACTTGGGAGGCTCCTGATCGGCTCCCAGCTCACACTTAGCGTTCCTGCAGTCCATCTTTCCCCTAACTGCCAAAGTCATTGTCATCACATGAAAACCCCCCCTTTCACTGCCACCCCCCTCCGCCAAGTAAAAACCTTCAAATCTTTCTAGTGCCATTTTAAAATTCAAAATGCAGGGGCATCTTGGTGGCTGAGTCAGTTAAGCATCCAACTCCTGATCTTGGCTCAGGCCATGAACTCACGGTTTGTGAGTTCAAGCCCCCTTTCGGGTCTCTGCGCTGGCTGACCGCATGAAGCCTGCTTTGGATTATCTGTCTCCCTCTCTCTCTGCCCTTCCCCCCTCATGCTCTCTTTTGTGCTCTCTCTCAGAATAAATAAACATTAATAAGTATTTAAAGAATAAAAACTAAAAATTAAATTCAAG